CTGTGTTTCCTCCACTTCCTGTGCCATATATTCTACTGCATATTATTCATAAGGTAAGAACAAAAGTCATGTCTGTGTCTTGGAGATTGTTGGATTGTTTTGTTCACTGGAGCTATGTTTCCTGGTAGGAGAACTTAGAGAGACATTTTATCAGGGTAAAAGTTGTTTTCTTTTTGGACTCTTCGCTTAAACCATCTGTCTGCTCTGGTGGGAATATGTTGGAGCTCATTCTGAAAAGTCATTAATTTTCCCTAAAACTGTGCAGGACAAGTGGAGAATTCTCTATTTCAGTGGAAATCTTTGGTTAAAAGTGACTGCAATACCACGATTGCTACTAATAGAATGTGAGAGGATTTAGAATGAGGATATTGCAGATATTGCGGAGAACGCTGATATCGGACTACTATATGTTTCATATTTTTATGTCCCCCATAAGCAGAAGACCATTGTGCTCAGGATTCGTGAGTTCCCGATTTCTAGTAGAGAAAGTTCGACTTTTTTCTCCAAGCCGAATTCAATGGATGTTTTGAAATGACGTTACTTACAAGTCGCTTTAGTAACCACCAGGTGGCAACAACTCACCATCTAAAACCAACGACCTTTCTTGATAAACACTCCATGCGCAGAGTAAAAATACCTCTCCCCTATATATATACAGTATACACACGCGTGTATATATGTTTATATATGTATCATCAGCACAATCAATTTATTTTCACCGAACTACATTATTAAATGACACCACGTATCTTTCACCAGAACAACACTTAGCATCACTTCCAGCGTTGGTGTTGTGACTGTGATTGCTATGGGACATGCCGCAGGAATGTTCATTGTAGGCCATTTTGTCTCCTCTCCTGTCCCCTCGTGTTGTGCATTCACCGATGCATTCATAGCTCTCATGCTAGGCCCGTTTTATAATGTGCACTGTAAAACATTGGCACACACCTATAAAGAGGATTCTTCGAGTGGAACGCCAGCTGTTAGCCAGGTATTTACCCAGTGCGCAAAGTGATTTTCCCACAGCAAAATTTCAAAAGGAAAACTGAATTGATAGCAAAGAAAGATCTGGATTCAACATTTATTTTGCTTATATATATAAACATATACACATATATATATATATATATATCCATACATATTGAGGTACATATGATCCTAGGTGTGTTTTATCTATGACTTGAAAAACTTTTGTAGGAAGCGTAAGGAGTGCTTCACTAACTGTACTGTAGATATTCTCTATGTTCTGTCACAATGCAAGTTAAGACCTGTTTCCAAGGGAAACCCCAGCTGCAGGCAGCTTAAGGTGGTATCTGGATTTAGGCTCTTGTTTGCCCTGTTAGGCAGCCAAAACATCTCCTGCAGGGAGGGGGCAAGTCATGCATGCAAAACTACAGCCATTTGCACCCAGCCAGGGCGGATACAGAGCATCCTGCATCCTGGATGTTTGCTGCTGCTAAGCTTCAACCACGGAGACCCGACCTCAGGATTACTGGAGTTCTCAAAGGGTTCACACGAACCCCCATGACAACTCTGATTCATCCTGCTTGGTTACATGTGCGATTCCCAAAAGGATGGTCGTCTATACTTTGTCTGACTTATCCTTTTAATCTGGCCAACGCAACAACTAGAATCAGAAATAACAGCGTAGTTCAAAATAATGCCGTATTTACAACAATGATCAATTCGACTGATTTGTTTTTCATGATTTTGATTGACGATAGTTAAACGCTGGAACTGTATTTTTTTTTTCAGTTTTAACTTTAAACTGTAATATTTTTTTCCCTTGGCGAAAAACCACTATAGCTAAACTTGTAACTGAGAAGTTTTCGAATACTATTGATGTTTTTTTTTATGATTTGGAGATGCGTCTCGTGACGAGCCGTTCCACATTCTGTCAGAAGCGGCAATTTACCAATAGCTATTTCAAACTCGCTCCTCAAGTGTTGCCATAGTTTTGTGACGCCGTCTTCAGTCCCACACCCCAGCTTAAGAAGTGGGCGGAGCACACAGTGGCTCACTGCCAATCAAAAAGTTTGTTTTGTTACCACCAGAGCACGTTGCTAAGGACCTTGCGTATTAGTACTAATAGTAAGTTCACTTCACTGTTGATTGTATAGGCATTGACAGAGTTTCTTAGTACTAGATGGCATGGTGTATTTGAGACAGCCTGTGATTGGTTAATAACTAGGACTAACTATTACTATGCCTGTGCGCGAATTGATAACCAGAAGAAGTGTTAATTCTCTGAATAACGTTACATTTCAACTGTACCGCCTTTTTGTATAATCGCAAGATTAGTTGTTAGATATTTATTCTTGCTAAAATTATACAAAAAGAAAAATACATGATGACAGCTTCAAAGGAAGATTTTTAAACAAACAAATTAGCCCAGAATCTCTTTCACCACATGCATATAATACCGTGTCACCAATCTTGTCCTCGATGGTCACTGATCTCCGCTCTAGACTTCAGCATAGGTACCATTATAATAGAAGGGTTTGTCGGTCACGCAATGACCCACAACATCAGGTGTCCATCTCTGGATGTGAGATTTGCCGTCCTTGACTGGTCGGACAATAATGGCACTGCGCGATGACAGTGAGGGGTCTTCATCAAAGAAATTGAACGGGCGTAGGAAAAAGCCCACGGCGTTGCCTGGTGTTGCTGTGTTGGGGATATCTTCTGAGTGAGGCACATGCAGGAAGCCGACAGTCACCCAGGCAACCAGATCCTGTACCGGCACAAAGACGAATTTTTAAAGAAAGTGTTAAAATAAAAGCATGTCATCCTTCAAATTGAAATTAAATTATACTGCAAGTTTAAACTAAAAACCGTTTCAGATTAGCAAATGAAATCTAGACTGGGGGTCTGAAACTAGGAGCCCCCCAAAAAACTGGTGCTTTTTTTATTAAAATAACTAGGAGCCCCCCAAAAAACTGGTGCTGGTCTGTAGGCCGGTTTACTTTTTAAAAAAAAAAGTTTGGTAATGTTTCTGGTCATTCAGACTGGGATAGTAAGTCTAAAAGATGTTTTATTTTGAAAATTTTATGATCCTTCAACACTGGCGCGGTATTACCGTCCTTGGTACAAAAAAAATTGAGGACCGCTCTTGTAGCCGACACTGTTCCTATCGTAACTGCACCCTAATTGAACTTACAGTTACAGCAGTTAGCTGATTAGTTAGCTGTATTATTCAAAATAATTTCTGAGCCCTCTTGTTGATTAGTTTTCTGTGAGGGCTTCCGGGTGTCTGACTTAAAGCAAAAATCAAATATGGTTCTTCCGTAGGAATGTCGAGGACCCCCTGTAAATGCATAGAACGAGCATGAATGTTGACCTCTGTACCTTGTTAACTATGTCTTCATTGTTGATGTAGTCCTCGAAGTTAACAACAGGCTCCCAGGGATCGCCCTGTGCATAAATGCTGCTGCTGGCACCTTCACTATCCCTGTAACGTGTCACAGCCAGAGGATACCTGCACACAACATCACGTTAGTTGTTTTTTTTTTTTTACCCCTTTACTGTTACAACGACTCATTGCAGTCTTCCTACTAGTTATCAGCAGTTTCCACGACCGCCACCCAAATCACATTGCATATCCATTGCAGGGAAAGCCAAAAAAAACCCCCCAAAAACTTCATGGCTTGTTCCAATATCAGTCCAATACTGGTCAAAATAATTTAAGATCAGACATAGTAAAAAAAAAACTATAGCCTCTTCGATTTGATACCGAAGACCAATAGCTGAACTTGACTTTGGCATGCCGTAAACAGAGACACTTTTGCCTCAGTAGAGGTAAGAGACTCCAAGTTGCGCTATCGGACATGAAAAAAGTTGCATTGGGCCATCCCTATTTAAATATGCCAAAAAGTGATGACATGATGTCAACTCTCATTATTCTGATTACATAGTTGCACAATTACCTTGACCAACTGATGCCTTTTTCCTCTGGCGAGCCTCTTGGGACGACGCTGTGGGCATGTGAGTTGAACTGAATTCGGTATCCTTTCTGGTAGCCCCATTTATTCTTCTTGTTTGGGTTATAAAAATTTATATAGCGAGGCAACGTTTTGCCGAAGCGGAAAGCAGCAGATCGCTCCGTCTTGTGCTCTGTCCTACGGAGTTTAGACTGGACGACGGAATTCTTCGGGCTCCAGGGGTTAGTAAAGTTGACAAATTCCAAATTGAGCGTCTCCAAGCTGTTCTGCCGACCTGTCACATGCACAAAAAGAACGTTTTTTTTTTTTTAACGTCTTGAATGTCGGTGTAAAATTTATCTCGATCTCGTCAGACAACTTTTTTGTATATATCTAAATGCACATCTGCATCTAAATGAGTACAGTCCAAAAGACGGTAGAATGTGCCGGAATCAATTCATTAGATCAATGGATTTCAAATCTGAGGCATGAGCAAGTTCAACATTTTCTTTAGGTAAATAGGCCAGGTCTCTTTATGACAGAGTGAAGTCCAGAGACATGTTTATCAATATGTCTGGCTTGCAGTTCCCGTGTTTACTTTTCTCTTATCATTGGTCTTTTACAACAACTTATACAACAGTTCTACTTGTCACCCACATCTACTGAGTCTTAACCTATTTCCTTTCTTTTATTTCCTTATTGACCAGCCGTTTTTGTTTTTTTTTTTCATATTAAAAAGTGAATGGTGCAAACTGTTACAGAATGAGAGAATGCGATAGTCACAGTGTTTTGTAAGATTCTGTGAAAAAACTCTTTTATGTCATTTTATCCTATTTTTTGCCAGTTGTGGATATCTGTTGTCTGAACTTGCCTGCCATGTGGTTCTAACTTCGATAGCACCTTCTCCCCAAACCTTAATGTGGACTACTACTGTGGTGACCCCTGACAGAGGGATGAGCCAAAAGTGATACTCTTTCTACAATGTATCAATTTTTTTTCGTTTTTGGGATGTACTCAGCCTGACTAAAATTCATAATTCGGAAAAAGTATTACAGTAGTCCCTCGCCATTTCGTGGTTCATCTTTCGCGGATTCACGATTTTTGAAACTGTATATATAAAATATACTGTATCCCGGATTTGGATCTGCAAGAGATGTCACAGGATGTGGTTCGATCGGTCCAATTTTGCAACAAAATCGACGACGTCGCGACTGCCTACAAGCTACTCTTCGACTGGAAAAAGAAGCAGCGGAAGCAACTCCCGATCACAATGTTTCTGCAGCTTCGCAAAAAAGAGCCAGTTCCTGCTACTACTACGGATACACCTTCGGAAACCGTGGAAGAGGTGGCCCAAGAAATGGCACCACCCTCTGAAGAAACGTAAAATCAATCATCGGCTGCGAAGTAAAAGTCATCATCACCTTCCTCATCATCATTTTACTGCGCATACAGTAAATATGGTGTCACTACTTTGCGGAAATTCAGTTCTCGCGACAGGCCTTGGAACCTATCTACCACCATAAACGAGGGACCGCTGTTATACGTTTTTAAAGTTTCAAAGTTACAATTACAAAAAGAATCATTCCAGTACTAATCATTCAAGTACTTACCACTAATATCCAAATCAACTTTGTAGTGGATGAGGTGTGTGTGGAGGTTACCCAGCAAATGCTGGTTGACCTTTGTGCCGTAGTGAAGTCCATTTGGTGTAAAAAAGGTGCCGTGAATGTATCCCGTGGCGCTGATTTTTGCCTCCACCACACCGTTTTGGTAGAAGATAAAATCCCAGATATAGTCGTAGTTGTAAACTGTCGAGGTCGTGCGCAGCACCAACACTGTGTTTTCCAGTCCCCCATAGAAATTGTAGCTCCCTCTCAGGTTGCTGTCAAAGTGCCTTCTTAAGGGCATGGCTGTGGTCATCTCAAAAATGCACAGGGCATTTCTGTACCGCACAGGTTTGTCTGAGTCTTGATAGTGGTACAGGTCGACGAAGCTCGCAATTTCTGGGCAGTCAATCCCTGAGGCTAGTTCAAAGCTCGAGCTGCCCATAAACCAACCCGAATCAATATACTTTGTTTGCATGCCAGCAGGGGTGTCGCCACTATAAAAAGAAATTGCCTCCTGGAGACTGATCTCGTACGCAATTCTTTCTCTGTTAAAACGAAGGTCAAAAATCTGAATCCCTGTTGATGAACTAACTCTGTAAGCGAAAGACCATCCTGCATATTCAACAAAGTTGCGGTCAACTCGATAACGAGGCCCCTGGGGTTCCACAAGCTTTGGTCCATAAATATTCGTCGGAGTGTTGCTTTGACCCCGGGGCATGTAGGTGGAAAAGAGGTCATCTGTGTTGTGATTGGGCAATTTAACAATTTCCAATTCCCCCGATTCATATTTTTCTACCAGGTGGTCAACACCGTTGAAGTACATTTGGTTGTACCAGACCTTCTCAACTGTCCATTTATTTGGATCCAGGTCTTGGTGATTGATAAGAACTTCAACCCCAACAGGGTGAAGGAAAAAACCGTCCACAGACTTGTGCAGCATGATCCAGGTTCTCCTCTCACCTGGACCCAGCCCGCGTGGAGCTACATCTATGAAAGTCAAGCACCACTTGGAGCAGTTAGTGAAAGAAAACCCACCGGTGGTCTCAAGCAGAAAATTGTTAGCTTTTGCGAAAGCCCTCTGAAGGAAATTGTATATATGAGCATCCTCTACATTTGTCTTAGGTCTTGAGTCGAAAGAGATTGGCTTTCCAGCCTTAAAGTGATTGACTCGATGAGAATTTGGGTATGGCATAGGACTGACAATGTACTCAGTAATGTTGGGCTTGGTCTGATTTCCAAACTGGACAACAACACGCGCTTCACGGGGCGGTTTAGCCTGTCCATTGTCCAGAGCTCTCAGGGCTTCCACCTTCTTCGGCACATGCAGTTCTATCAGGAGAATGCTGTTTTTCTTGAGAGTTCCATCACGAGCGTTCGTTAACTTCATGTCTGGAATGCCGTGGAGGTAAGCCCGGACGGCTTTCATCTCCACAGTTGTGAGGTCTGCAAACATGGAGGCACCATGATGTGCCCAGTTCCTGGACCTGGATCCAGAGCAAGTAGCCAACCAAATAACTTGCAACAGGCAAAAGATCCTCATGGCTGCAAAAGAAAAGATACATAAATATAAATTTGATTAGATAAGATAAACTATGGTTGGACCCCAATTTCTGCTTATTAGTTAGCTTTTCATTCTAAATGCAACAAGGCCATCTTTATTTGTGAAACTTCTGCATTTGATTCCTTTTTGCTTCTCATAGCAAATATTTAGCCTTTAAACAGCTACCTTGAAAAGTCCAGAGTGCAACATGATTAACCAGTACACTGCTTTGTCATTGTGTTGCTGTTGAAGCTAAACATAAATGGATGGATAGGCAGATAAACAGAAGGGAGAGGTGGAAATTCCCACAAAAACTTTTGTCAATTGTTTAACTGTACAAAATACAAATCTTGCATTTACAATAATTTACAACAATAATTCACTCCTAAAGAAAATCTTAGCATCTTTAACTCTGCCACCCCCAGCTCCACCTCCTGTCTTCTGCCTATTGCTACTGTCTCTAAACCATACATCATGGCTGGTCACCAAAGCAAACAAGAAGGGGCTCAGGGCTGATCCTTGATGTTACAGGTTACAGGTACTGTAACACATTTTTAAAAATCTGAATGAATTAAACATTACCAATTAATCATCAAACCTTTTTATTAATTTGAGAATCAATAACTCTTTTTGGGCACCCCTGCTGTAAAGTGACCAACACCTATGAAATGTTGGTTCCTTTTAGCTGCTTTTGGCCACCAGATGTCACCAAAGACGACCGTGTTCAAACGCTCCGACCACCGAACCCTATTGCTATACACGCTTCAGAGCCTCGTCTGCACATACCGCACATTAATTCAGACACAGGCTGTTCTTCTGCTGTATCTCAATTTACAAATTTGAGGTGTCACTAATCGTAATAACCCGAATCCGATCATTTTTTGTTTAACCTTGAATGCCAAACAACCTAGCCGCCCGGTGTGCATTTACAATGCTGCGCCCCTATCAATAAAACATACATATAAAATAATAAACGCTAATATTAGGGCAAAATGTCTGAATATATAGAAGTAAATCATTATATATTTTTTTTAACTAGGGGCAACCGTTAGGTGTTCCATAAAACGTGTTTTAGTTAGTAGCAGTTTTGAATAAAAGGGCGAAAATGTACTCACCGAGCAAAGTTAGCAAAACCGCTCCTTCGTGCTCCCCCGCTCCTATCCGTTACTTCAAACCGGTGTAGACCGGTCTGAGTCATCATAACCCGATACATTCGTTTTACATTTAAATTTTACTTATCGCCAGAGATAAAAAAAAAACAAAAACAAACACGTTCTAACTCACTATACTTAATTGTTAATTTAAGGGTTAATTTCTTTATCTGAATATAATCTATTATTGAGTTGAG